ATTATTAATTTGTTTAGAAAAAATAAAAGAAATTGATTTATCCAATATATTAAAAAAATTCGATTCTTGGTCGAGAACCGAGAACCGAACCAAACCATTCGGTTCTCGATTCGAATACTCGTTCGGGTATTTCATTTTAAAAACCCGCTCGGTTCAGTTCAGTTTGGTTCGGTTCGATTCGGTTCGGACATTTTGCCCAACCCTACCAGTCATAATTATATATAATTATATGCATACACATGTAATTATAACAATCACATAATTTAAATAATCCAATCATAATTATACATAATTATATAATCTGATTCTTAGACTTTTCGAAATAGTTGGAGTACCCGTGTCGGACACGACACGCATGGGTATGGGTATGGAATATGTGTCGTATCCTTCAAATTTCAACTGGACACTTCGTCGTTTTTACTTCTTCTTACCTTTTCTTCTTTCCCCTTTTTGCTCTCTATAAACAAAACGTTGCGACCGAGAGGGTGGAGAAAGGTGGCGGCACTAGGTTTTCCCTTCTTTTCTTCTTCTTTCTTTTTTCTTTCCACTTTCTTCTGTCTCTCTTTGTGTATCGGTGCTTTAATGTTTTATTTGTATAAAATGAAATGGATTCCATATAGTGCTACTTAGTGTTACACTAAATTCAAATTGCAATCAAATCTCTCATATTTTATTTTATATAACATTTAGTAATTCTCATAATTGAAAACTGAACCCTAAAATTCTACTTTATTAGTCTTAACCCCTTATTCAATACATATTTCCTTCTTTGTGAATAATTGATTTTGGTATATTCAAAATGATATCTTGGATTAGTAAAAAAAATTGAAGTTTGAAAGACGTATCCACGTACCCGTATCCAAAATTTGGACTTTTTTTAACTATGTCCCCGTATCCTACATTTTTGAAGATAAAAGATCTGACACTTAGATACGTTCCCGTACCCGATACCCGTACCTGAGTTCGAGCATCGTAAATTATATACATATAAACATATGTTATTATAATAATCGCATAATTTAAATCAACCAATCATAATTGTATATAATTATATACATATAAAAATGTATGTAATTATAGTAATCATATAATTTAAATCAATTAATCATAATTATATATA